GTCTAGGCTCTCTCTTTTCTCCTATCTCAAACATGGCCAGAGGCCACAAATACCCATTGCCTGAAAACATTCTGCTTTGTGGTGCGGAAGATCCTCTGTCTTGGAGCATAGGCCTGTTCTTTCTCCCAGATTTCTGGTATGACCTTCTTCAGTACTTATTATTTCCCAATCATACTATAACAAGATTTTCTTGATTAATATATGTTTATGTATAAAGATATTTATATAAATTATTCATACACATACACAAACATATACATGGTTAAATATAATTGCAATTCAAATTTTAAAAAGGGACACATGATCACTGTAGAGACAGCATGAAACTTCAGTGAAACATTTGACTTTCTCTGTCCAGCTTATTTTACTTAACAGAATGTCCTAAGCTCCATCCATCTTACTGGAAATGGCAGGATTTCCTTTTTCTCATGTGTAATTAATATTATATGTAATATTATATATACACAATATTCTATATATAATCTCACATCTTTATCCATTCATCCATTGGTAATTACTTAGGACCTTTCCATATTGTGGCTATTGTGAATAATGATGTAGTTAATGTGGAAGTGCATATACGCATATCTCTTTGAGATCCTGGATTGCTGGGATTATATGAAATTATATATAATTTAGTTCTATTCTAAATGTTTTGAGGGACTTTCACATTTTTTCTGTAGTGGTTGTACCAGTTGACATTTCCACTAACAATGCACAAGGGTTCCTGTTTCTCCACATTCTCATCAACACTTGTTATTTTCTGTCTTTTTGATGATAGCCACTCTGACAGGTGTGAGGTGATATTGCGTGGTGTCACTTATATGTGGGATCTCAAAAAAAAAGGAAAAAGGCAAACTGATAGAAACTGAAAGGAGAAAAGTGGATGCCAGGGCCTGGGGGAATGTAAGTAATAGGGAGAGGTTGGTAAAGGGGTACAAACTTTGAGCTGTAAGATAAATAAGGTCTGAGGATCTGATGTAAAGTGTGGTGACTATGGTTGATAGCACTGTTATGTAACTAAAATTTTCTAAAAGAGCAGAACTTTAAAGTTCTCATAAAAAAGAGAGGTGATGGATGTGTTAATTAGCTAATTGAAGGGAATCCTTTCACAATGTATAAGGGTGGGCAAAAGTAGGTTTACAGTTGTAAGTACAAAACAATTTATTCTTGTATTATTATTTGTTAATGTGTTTTCTTTTTTAAATATATTTTTATTTTATTGATTATGCCATTACAGTTGTTCTATTTCCCCCTTTCATTCCCCTCCACCCTGCACACCCCTCCCCCACCATTCCCCCTTTAGTTCATGAACATGTCGTGTCTCAAGTTCTTTAGATTCTATATTTCCCATACTATTCTTACCTTCCCCCTATCTATTTTCTGTCTACTGTCTATGCTACTTATTTTATGTACTTTCTCCCCCCTTCTCCTTCTCCCACACCCTTGTTGCTAACACTCCATGTGATCTTCATTTCTATGGTTCTGCTCCTGATCTAGCTGTACTCTTAATTTGTATTGTTTTAGGTGTGGTTGTTAATAACTGTGAGTTTGCTGTCCTTTCACTGTTCATCCTATTTTCTTCTTTTTCTTAGGTAAGTCCCTTTAACATTTCATATAATAAGGGCTTGATGATGATGAGCTCCTTGAATTTGATCTTATCTGAGAAGCACTTTATCTGTCCTTCCATTCTAAATGAAAGCTTTGCTGGATACAGCAATCTTGGTTGTAGGTCTTTGGTTTTCATGACTTTGAATACTTGTTTCTAGCCCCTTCTTGCCTGTAAGGTCTCTTTTGAGAAATCAGTTGACAGTCTCATGGGAACTCCTTTGTAGGTGACTGTCCCCTTATCTCTTGCTGCTTCTAGGATTCTCTCCTTCATTTGAAACTTGGCTAATGTAATGATGATGTGCCTTGGTTTGTTCCTTCTTGGGGCCAACTTCTTTGTGACTCTCTGACCTTCCTGAATTTCCTGGAAGTCTATTTCCTTTGCCAGAATGGGGAAGTTCTCCTTTATATTTGTTCAAATAAGTTTTCCACTCGTGGCTGGTCCTCTTCCCCTTCTGATACCCCTATAATTCGGATGTTGGAACATTTAAAGATGTCCTGGAGGTTCCTAAGCCTCTCCTCATTTTTTTGAATTCTTGTTTCTTCATATTTTCCTGTTTGGTCATTTTTTCCTTCCTTCTGGTCTGCTCCCTTGATTTGAATCCCAGTTTCCTTTCCATTACTATTGATTTCCTGTGCATTACCATTCATTTCAATTAGTTTAGCCTTCATATGTTCCTCTAATTTGTGACTAAAATCAACCAGTTCTGTGAGCATCCTGATCACCAGTGTTTTGAACTGTGCATCTGAAAGTTTGGCTATTTCTTCATTGCTTAGACTTATTGGCTCTGGGGCTTTGAGTTGTTCTTGAGGCATGTTTTGATCTGTTTGTGCCCGTTATGTATGAGAAGAGGCACCTTAGGTCTTCACCAGGGCGGGGCCACAGAGGTTGCTGGTTTGTGATGCTGTATGTGGGGGTGGGGTCAGAGAGGGAGCAATGGCGGTCCTCTCTGCTAGCCCGGTCTGCCTCAAGGCTCGCCCCGGCCTGTTTATCTGAGCACAAATGTGCGAGGCCGCTGCCCTGCGCTGGCCACTGGGGCCTGCTCAATCTGTCTCAACGCTTGCCTCTTCACTGGTTTATCTACTGGCAAATGCACCACCAATTGCAGACAGCCCACCACACCTCTTCCCTGGGTCCGCTCGTAGCTAGCCCGCACCTGGAATCCACCCTCGGCTGCCTGTGCGCCTCTGGGGTTGGGGATCTTTTTTTGCCTGACCTGCTCTGCTGCTGGTTTTGCCCCTCTCACCAGTTTAGCTGATCAAATCGTTGTTTTTGGACTCCGCATTGTTCGATTTTCTGTGTGGTTTGGTTGCGTTTATTGTTGTTAAAACTTTGTTGTTTTTAGATCTGGTTGTGCGAGGACACAAAGTGTTTCCACCTTCACCTCCATCTTTGCGGAAGTCTGTTAAAGTGTTTTCTGTATGAACAACTGTAAACCCACTTCTGCCCACCCTCTGTATATAAGTCAAGTCACTACAGTGCACACTGTAAATATCTTACAATTTTTTAAATTGTACCTCAGTAAAGTTTGCTCAAGGGGCAAGGTGAAGGGAAACTAGTCTTAGAAATTTTTTTTCAAGAAGATTGAGTGGAACATGGTGAAAATTTTTATTGTATTTTTTATCTTTACCATTTATCTTCCCATACCCTCTCCCACCAGAAATTTAAGGTACAGGTTAAGCCATTGAAAAAGCAAGTCTTATTGGTTGGATAGATTTGGCATTCAACTATTTTTTTACCTCTGAATCTCTAAATTAGACTTCTAGCTTTTATTTTGTTAAAATTATAAAACACTTAATTCATGGGAAAACACACAAAAATAACATTAATGCTTAAGCAAAATTTCTCAACAAATGTTTCATGCTTTTCTATTGTATTTTCCTCCTTTTGGGTCCAAATACTGGTTCTCCATTTATTAATTACATAATTTTGGACAATTAACCCTCTCTCTGTTATTCAGTTTTCTGGATAAAAAGTGGGGACCACTACCCTAAAGGGTAGCTATGAGAGTTAATTAGGGAATATATAAAAATGCTGAGAGAGCTGCTCTCTCTAAGAGCTTTGATGGAATATTTGTCCACCTCTGCATGGTAGAATCCTACAGACCACAGTGTAAAAAGACAAGAAGCCCCTTTCTCTATCATCTCATCTCATTGTTTATATGAGAGAGGTACACATTGTGTACTGCACATTCTTATTGTATTATCATTATCATCTTATTGTATTATCCAATAATTATTATCATTAACTTTCTGAATATATGTTTATTCCATATATTAGGCCTATCTAATCCTCACTGCTCTTGATTGGGGCTTGGAATCTAATTAAACAGTTACTATTCTGGGGTTATTTTTGAGATTGTCATTGAAACAGAAACATGAATTAAATCAAGGTGTAACTTACTGAGATGGATGCAGAAGAATTGAATTAGTACAGTCCAAAGAGCTCTCATTTAGAGCAGAGGGAGCTTATAATGGGACTTCTGGGCTGAATCCACTGGGCTGACTAGTGTACTTACTTTAGGGAGCTAAGCGGCTAAAGGGACTTTGTTCATGCCAATGTTTGAGGTATTTGCAAATGGACAGCTTGTATGTTTATTTGTTCAATGAAAGCCTGCTGTCACTTGAGCTGAAGAATTGTAATTAATTTGTAGATCTTTTATTTTCTTCTGTCACACAAATTTCAGAATAGAAATATATATCAAAACTAGACTTTATATTTTCTTAAAAATAAACTCCTGTTTCTCAAAACCTTTGTAAGATATATATCTGAAATACAAATTCTTAGGGCAATGGTTCCAAAAGTGTTAATTTCTGAAGCAGGAGCACCTAGAGCTGGTTAGAAATGCAAATTCTTGGTCCCTACCTCAGATCTACTGACTCAGAAACATCCAGGTGATTCTGAACCACACTCAAGTACCACTGTCTTAGGCTAATAACTACATTTCAAGAGAGGTACTGTATATGAAAAGATGTTATTTTTGTGATTTATTTTTTGTAACTTTATATATTTTTAGAGAGGGGGGAAGGGAGGGAGAAAGAGAGAGAAACATCAATGTGTGAAAGAAACATTGATCAGTTGCCTCTCATGCACTGCAACCAGAGACTAGGCCCGGACCCTGGCAGGTACACTCACTGGGAATCTAACTGGTGACCTTTTGCTTTGCGGAATGATGCTCAGACATACAACCAACTGATCTATGCTGGTACAGGGCTTTTTGTTTATACTGTTGATCAGGAAAGGTTGGCATACTTTGGATTAAGTATTTTATTTAGTCCAATGTTATTCAGTATTAGATAAATAAAACCTCTTTTAATATATCTAATTGCTATTAAAATACAGTTTTGCTCACTGCTCTTTCCCTTCTGTTCTTTGCATCTCCACATGGTAGACGAATTGGATTTTATGTCAATACTTTCAAAAATGTCTCTAGCCTTGAGGCCAAGTTTCATAAGGAAATTGCAGTGGTGAGTAATGATTATTTTTACTTATGGAATATAAAGTAAATGAACATTTATTCTGGAAGCAAATGAAATGGCTAGCACTATGCAAAGAATGTGCTCACTTGCATGTTGTTTTTAATAGTGTATTATTACTCTCAGTAGTATTTCTACAGGTTTGTTGTTGTGGTCACATAGTTCTCTATGTCTTACAAAGATTTTAGTTTGCGGGTGTACAAAAGTGCTCTTGTGAATCACTGGCTGCTTTTATTTCATTCCTGAAATAATTTTTTTCATTGTCACAGTTTCATTTTTTAAGTCAGTTTTTAATATTGGAGTTTCAAGTGATACTTCAAGCTATGAAAAAAATTTGCTTCCAAATATTCAGATAATTAGCAGCTATGCTGTCAGCTGGTGTTTTCTTAGTTTAGCAGGTACTCGTATGACTTTAATTCTAGTAAAGTCAATGTAAACAATTATTTTTTCTCTGTACTCTGGTTAATAAATATATTTTAATTTTTTAAGTTTTTTTGTGGCCTTTAAGTTTTGACATGAATTCTAACTTTTCAATAAACAGTCCCTTTTGAGGGCACAATAGCCTGAGTAAACATCAGAATGAATTGCAGCTAATAGACAAGTGGCCTCTGTCCCCTTAGCTTTGCCACAAACTGTATGAAGTAATGACGAAACTGGGTGACCAGCATGCTGACAAGGCCTTCACCATTCAAGGCGCTCCCAGGTAGGCCAAGTTCATCAGAGCCAAGTCCATGTCCATTCATTTAAATGCAATGGTTGTTGCAATTTCCGCAGTCTGTACCAACCTATACTATTTTATTCATCCTATAAAAGTAAAAAATAAAGGAGCCTTTCCATGCAAAGGCAGTCCCCAGCCTTAGTTCTATGCTTTTATATTTACCTTCATCCTTCAGATTTACCTACCACAACCTTTAACCTTTTCTCATTGTCATGATAGAACTGACTGTCTGCCTCTCTGCTGTCCATGGGACCTAAGAGCAATGGTATAAATTTTTAACATATAATTTCTCGTTATGCACTTGTTACGTTTCTTGAAGAAAGAAAGAATTCCTCCAACTCATAACTGTTAACCCTGATATTTATCACTGGTGATGACATACTTAAAGAATCCATTTTTGGAAAGGGGAGAAGTTAGTGAGACCTCACTACCACCTTACCTCTTCCCAATTCCACCTTGCACACACTGCATTGTTTTTTCTTTTATTGCACATGGTTATTTTGAGTATGCCTTCAAATACACCAAAGACCTAGTGATCCATAGGTGAAATGTCTACATTGCTGGGGTTGTTTGGCTTTACACCAGCTTTCTCCCATGATTTTGGAATCCCTCTTTTTCCATCCTTTCCAGATATTCTGTACTCAAAAAATGCAGGCAAGTGAACCTGGTGGTGGAAGTCCAAAGACCCAGCTTTCAGTTTATGGCTCTACATGTAGTTAACATGCATAGACTTTCTTAAGTCCAAGAGCCTCTCTAGTTAAAGACCTCATTTTTTTAACTAGTAGGGGAAAATAGATGATATTGGACTAAATAGCTTTAAAATAATAGGCAGAATCAAGAAAAAGGAGAAAAGACTCATGGACATGGACAACAGTATGGGATTGCAGGGGGGAGAGGGATGGGTAGAGGTGGAAGAAGGTATAAGTTAGATCAATGATAAGGGAAAATACAATAAAAATAAACAAAAAATAAAGTAAGCAGTGGTGACATTCTATATTTGTAATTTTAACATCAATATATATACTCATACACATTTATAAATATATGCATACTCCTACACATGCACCACTGTCTCTATGTGTCAGTGTTTGGATCTCTCTGGAGGTAGCTAATATTCTTATTTGTTGCTCCTTGGATTAGTTGTATTCATAGTGTCTGCTATAGCTGCTGTACTAAATTAGCATGAAGTGTGTCTCTCCTTGTAAGGGAAAGAATATGACTAGAATACATGAAAGGAGCAGAGCTACTGTTTCTAATACAGCTAGGAACACAGTAACAACTGCAATATCAAAATGATATTTAGGTTTTTGAGAAATAAAATACATAAAATATAAGGGTTTCTCCATTATGGAGAGATGAAAGGGATAAAGGCATGTAGAAATTTCAAAGTTGCTAAATCAGATAAAATGGAGAGAGTGGGGCCACAGTGATTTTACAAATGTTCCTTTCATTTTTTTCAACATTTCTGTGCAGAATGAGGTGGTGAGTGAGCGATTTCAGTAGGATCTATCTCTATTAAGCGTAGATTGGGGCTGTGCTTCCTGACAGATGCAATGATTGCTGGCACATAGCCCCAATCATGCAGTGTATCTATGTTCTCTATAAGACCTATTCCCTTGTAGGCCATGCTGCTGTGTACATATTTATTTTGGGATGCAGATCCTGTTACCTCAATCTGTAGACTTTTGAAATTCTTAAAGAGCAGAATGTGTTTCTAGTGTCTTCTTAGTCATTAACTTTGGGCTGTTCACAAGCACCTGGCCTGGTATTAGGTATGTGGTGCGTTGTGAGTAAATATTTCCAATTCTGTTATATCACATAATTTGTTTGCACATTTCAAGGTGCCTGAGTTGAGTGATTGCTCTTAAAAGTGTGGAAGCAAAAGCAGTTAATGAGTTAATCTCCAAATGTTACCAGAAAGCACTCCTACAAAATCTTAAAATTAACAGTATCCTAAGGATGCCTTTTACATAAAATTTATCATAAGTTTTACTATAGGTTATGACATAGCAATATTCCCTTGTAAATCAAAAGTGAAATTAGTTCAGTTAATTCAGTTTATGTTTGAAAGATTCTTGCAAAACATGTTTGGCACAGTAGAAAAAACAAGGGCCACATTAGTAAGGCCTGAATTCAGATCCAGTTAATTACCCAGTGACTTCAGGCATTTTTAACTTTCTGCATGGGTATTTTGGTGATTAGAGATAATCTATGGCATACAGTGTTAATAACCAGAATTAACCTGAAAGAGGAAGTATATAACAAATAATACCTGTTAGGGCTCAGAATTTCTCTGGTATGGAGGATTCCTAATAAATAACTACTGCTCCTTAGAAGACCCTTCGTTTACATGTCCTGTGTTCATCTAGTGATTCAGGTCCTCTCCGCATCACAAAGACACCATCACCGCCTGAGGAGCCTTCACCCATCCCAAGCCCAACAGCTAGTCCCAATCATACACTGGTGCCTGCGTCTCCTGCACCAGCACGGCCTCGGTCACCTTCACAGGTAGGAAGAGATCAAATATATTAGGGTGACTGGAAAAACTCATGGTGGGATGACCACATCTGGTATTGTCCTGTGGGGCAGGGGAATTGAGAGGAGTTTACTTCTGGTTGAGGAGACTTTGAAGTATGAAGTTTTAGGCATTATAGTTGTCACTAAGGAATCAACTTATTTTCCTTATTTGGATCTTTTATTTTCTTGCACGCCCTATACTTGACTGTGTTTATCTCAGCCTCCTCAGACTTGCCTGCTCTCCTCTTCCATCTTTTGCTCACAGAATCCTTTCCATAAAGGCTCCCATTAATCCTACCTTCTCCATGAAACCTCTCTCCTGTAGTGCTTTAGTAAGGTTCATGGCAAGTATAACCACAAAAAGCTGTTATGTGAATATTCCATTTCACACTTTTTGTATTATCCACCAATATTGTATATGAACAGATATGCAACAAAAGTGCAGGAAACAAATGATTGAAAGAAATAGTAAGGGCCAGGAAAAGGTAAATATAGAGAAAATTGCCACCCATTCTTTTCTACTTTGGGTGAACATGAAATTTCTATAAGAAAACTTGAAGTGCCCAGTTCAGTTTAAGCTTTCATGTGTTCAGCTAAAACTAAGGAAGGAAATTCATAGGAAGATACATGTAGCAAATGTATGCTGCCTATAGGTAGTCTCACTGATTCCAATGAAAAACTTGCTTGATTTTAATGTGAAATTTTTAATTTATTGCTGAAGTGAAGAATTATTTTTAGTTTGCTTCAGAGAAGGTAGTGCCTTAGTTTAACATTAGAGGCACAGGCATCTGGCCCTGTGGCCCTGAGTGTAGCTCTTGGGTTGTGGTGAATGGAGCATCAGACCCTGAGTTTTTCTTATTGGACCCTGAGTTTTTCTTATTGGCTCACAGAGCCACCCAAGCAGATGGCATTTTTTACTATCAGGTGGGCTTGTTTCTATATGCAGATCTGAACTTCAGTCAGTAATCTATCTGTCCTTCCACCTCTGTTCAGATGAGATTTTTCATGTCTTGCACATCATCTTTGGCTGAATTAACTACTGCTTGTGTTTAATGCTTTGTAGACAAGGAAAGGGCCTCCTATACCACCTTTGCCTAAAGTCACCCCAACAAAGGAACTGCAGCAGGAGAACATCATCAGTTTCTTTGAGGACAACTTTGTCCCACAAATCAGTGTGACAACACTTTCCCAGGTGAGTGCCTAGTACAGCGGTGGGATGTCTATAAAATACATGGAGGAGGTACTCTCAGGGCTCAGCTCTACAGAAAGCAGATGCTAAGTCAACAATATGATTTCTGTTGCCATTCAGGTTTTCTTAGTGTTTCTAAAGCATTTTCAAATGGGAGATGTACATTTTGAAAATATTCATATTATTTTTTATTATTAAGATTAATAAGTAGCACATATTGTAGAAAATGGGAAAATACTAAAAAGTGTAAAATGAGTAGTTTTAGTAATTACTTAAATCATACCACTCTGACTTAGCCACACATATGCTCTGGTTTTTTATTTATTTTTTTCGTTGTTTTATTTCCTACTTATATATTGCTTTTTCCCTACAAAAATTAAATTGTATTGTTTTGTACTCCTGACTTTTCTACTTAATTGCATGAGCATTTTTTCATGTCATAGTATTATCTTTTCAAAAAAATAATGTTTAATCAGAGTATTCTATCAGATGGATGTAGCAACTCCTGATTGTGTCCACAAGTTGCTTCCAATTTTTCAATGATTTCATTAGTACTTTGGTGAATATCAGTATAAATGAATTCATATTTGCACCTTCTATTACTTCTTTTATATTACTTCCTAGTAAAGAATAGGAAAATAAAATTAAAGAGGTGAATATTTTTAAGTCTTTTGCCCTACCTCAGGTAGAAATGTATCCTTGCACATGATTTGGCAAATGGAAACCTTAATGTTCCCTTGCTTTCAAAGACAACTGGATGCAGGTGCTCCACCTTTAGTTACTTACCCTCAGTGGACTGTAGCCTGTCCCTATGAGCAGCTTATTTATCTTGAGAATAGTCTTGACTTGCAGGGATGTTCCTAATGTCATTGAAGCCAACTCTTTAAGAGTGAAAGTTCCCAGTCATGCTAATATAATGTTTCCCAGTGTTCTCAGGATCAGAAATAATATTTACATTTTGTGATGTGAGCACCACATTTTAATTACTGAACACATCAATAACAACACTGTGTAAGACATTGCAATTGCAATCACACTCTGTTGACAATAATAGAAGTAATGTACTGATATCAGGGGGCTCAGAAAATAAAAGCTCAGAAGCAATGCAGTGTTGAATCATAATTTGTCATCCCCTTAAAGTCCATTTATCAACAGATGCAATGCTTTTAGCTAATTGTTTTCCTTCTGTTGTTTATATGAGATGTTCAATATGATAAGCTAAGTACGGCTTGAAATGAGATTTAGCAGCTCCTTTGAGGAGAGGGAATTGTGTGTTTATTAGTGCATGGACAAATTATGCCTGTGGCTACACAGATGCTTCTGGGAATAGCTTGAACCAGATGATCTTACTCAGCATCCACCTGGCACCAAACTGGAGGAGTTTTCATTTCTAAGTTGTGCTGTTTGTTTGCATTTGCTAACAGCTCGACTTCATTTTTTTTTTTTTTTTTTTTGCTATATCACTCTCCAATTCAGAGTACTTTGAGTGGTAGTATCCTTACTATCAAGTTCCTTTCAACTAGATCCTCTAAGAATATCCTCTGAATTCCATCACAAGTAGAGCATGTGGGTCACCTAGAAACAATGTGTGCTTGATGAGGACCTCTCCATTTAGCAGTTAAAGCAATTGAAGTAGAGAAAATGTGACACACAGACTAGTTCTGAAATAAAGATGGGGTTCAAAAGTGTTCTTTCTTTTAAAATGTGTTTTTATTTGCAGTTTGCTGGTTTGTAGATAAGGGTCCTTCATGGTGAGGAAAAACAGAGCCAAAGCACTTTTAAAAATTACAAATGCCAGGAGAGGCCTCTAAGTACTTCTGAAAGCATTAACTTTTGCTGATATTGTTGAGTGAACATGATGGGAAAAGTCAAGGGTTGGAGGAGGGGGAGAGGAAGCACCTCTCAAAACAGAACCATCTCTAGGTGCTGCTTCTGCGATGAGACATCTGGTAGAGTGCTGACCCCACCTGGCCATCAGTCTGTGTGTTGCGGCCGCAACGAACAAATTCACATAGACTACAGAAGTCCTGTGGAGAAAAAGGGATGGCATGGCCACTCTCTCAGTGGAAGAGAGGAAAGGCCTCAACCCCTGTCTGGACAAGCTTTTATTGTTTTTTCTGGGCACATTACATAGAGGACCGTCCTCATTTACTACAGGTTCACTTCAGGTGGTTACCTTTTATAGAAAACAAAGGAGAAGATGTTGCTAATTACATCAAAGAGAAGGACATTTGCAAATGCAAGGGGAAAAGTGGTTGAACTGATTACATTCCTACCTGAGAGGCTTAGCGTAGATTTTAGGAAGTTACTTTAAAGATATTCAGTAAACGTTTCTGCCTTAATTCAGGGTGAGGGAGTTTTAGCAAAAGCAAGCCTCCTAGCAGCCTAGGTACAATGCAGGCCTGATTCCCCATGGGAGAACCTATTTGTGGGCGTGAGTCCTGTGTGCCTGACCTTACTCCCCACTGGCCTTTTCGAGTGGGGGCTGACTACATTTTCCACTACCACACAGAATGGTCCACTATACTGTATGTCACGCCCATCAGTCTGCCAGGCAGTTTTGCAAGAACTAATTAGATATGATAAACATATCTAATTATGATATTAGATATGTTTATCAGATTATATGTCAAGTTACATATTAAAAGTGAAAGGATTGTCTCAAATGGATGATAATATTTTTAGATGTGCTCAGATAACTGACTAAAAAATAAATAGAAATTTTAGGAGAAAATAGATGCCAGCTGCCAAGGAACAGAGTATTGAAAGCTAGAGAGCTGAGATGTACTTCCAGGTACATATATTACAATAATATAGAGTGATCCATGTGCATTTATTTAATATTTTTTAAATGTTTGAGTAATTCTCCATTTAACAGATAAGTTCTGTGTGTCTCCTATTTTTGCCCTGTGCTTTATAGAGAAGGAAGGCAATTGTATTCATCCCAACTAGAAACTCAAAACATAATGATTAGAATTTCTCACCTCTGATTGATTTGCCTGTGTCATCACAGTGATAATTCTCTCTTGAGTGTGTTCTGGGATTGGAAACAGAAATGTATCAGACCAGAAAGCCCTCAAATGGCCCCAGACCTTAAATAAATCACACAATCTTCTCTGGGAAATATTCTTATCTGCTTACAGAGAGATGCCCCAATGTCAAGCCCTAAGGGCTGATCTTGCTCTTCTGGTTCTGTGTTTTACAAACATGGGTCTGCCAAAATCCAAACCCATCTCTCCCTAGTTTTCTGTCTCAAGAAGTTAAGTGGAAAGAAATTCTGTGTGTATATGTGTGTCTGTATGTGTTCCTGCATTATTCTTTGATTTTTTTTATTCTTAACCTCCCCCTGTCTGTTTTCTTATTCCCTGTATCTTTTCCCCCTTTCCCCCTCCCCCACTGTTAAACTTCCATGTGATCTTCATTTCTGTGATTCTGTTCCTGCTCTAGTTGTTTGCTTAGTTTGTTTTTGTTTTTGTTGTATTTGGTTGTTGATAGTTATAAGTTTGATGTCATTTTACTGTTCATAGTTTCGATCTTCATCTTTTTCTTAGGTAAGTCCCTTTAATATTTTATATAATAAGGGCTTGGTGATGATGAACTCCTTTAACTTGACCTTATCTGAGAAGCATTTTATCTGCCCTCCCATTCTAAATGAAAGCTTTGCTGGCTAGAGCAATTGTGGATGTAGATCCTTGCCCTTCATGACTTGGAATACTTTTCTTCAGCCTCTTCTTGCCCGTAAGGTTGCTTTTTAAGAAATCAGCTGATAATCTCATAGGAACTCCTTTGTAGGTAACTGTCTCCTTTTCTCTTGCTGCTTTTAAGATTCTGTTCTTCTCTTTAATCTTGGTTAATGTAATTATGATGTGCCTTGGTGTGTGCTTCCTTGAGTCTAACTTGTTTGGGACTCTGAACTTCCTGGAATTCTATTTTCTTTGCCAGATTTGAGAAGTTCTCCTTCATTATATTTTCAAATAAGTTTTCAATGTCTTGCTCTTCCTCTTCTCCTTCTGGCACCCCTATGATTCAGATGTTGGAACATTTAAAGTTGTCTTGATGGTTCCTAAACCTCTCCTGATTTTTTTTTTAATCCTTATTTCTTTATTCTGTTCTTGTTGAAGGTTTATTTCTTCCTTCTGGTCCAAACCATTGATGTGAGTCCCAGTTTCCTTCCCTTCACTGTTGGTTCCCTGTACATTTTGCTTTATTTCACTTTTCATAGTCTTCACTTTTTCCTCTGTTTTGTGACCATACTTAAACAATTCTGTGAGCGTCCTGATTACAAGTGTTTTGAACTGTGCATCTGATAGGTAGGCTATCTCTTTGTCACTTAGTTGTATTTTTTCTGGAGCTTTGATCTGTTCTTTTGTCTGAGCCATTTTTTTGGTCTTTGCACACCCTTGCATTATTCTTTTAAAACAGAATTGCCCATATAGTCTTATAAGATGCTTGGTTTATGTGGCTAGGAGGGGCTGCATCTCCTTGTGCTTTTTTCATGGTTCATGTCAGCATGTTCAAGGCTCTGAGAAGTTCGACAACAAAAGCCTTGTTTGTTTAAATCAAAGTTTCTCAAACAGTTTCCCAGACTTTTATCCCAGTGTATTCTGTTCCTGCTAAACGGATGTTTTGGTGAAACATTTGAAAAAGGAAGATTTAAATGATATTATGACCCTGCCAAATTTATGGCATATAAGTAAGATTTTAACAGGAGAGCAAAACAAAAGAAAGCAATCATGTATATGTACACATAGATATGCATATATGTAAGGTTGTTCCTTTTTTTCTTCAAAAATTGTTTGGACTGCTTTCTGTTCTAATTTGATCACTTCAATTCTGATGTTCATCCACCTCTCTCACGAGGGCTTTCCCTAGCAATTGTGTCTCTGAGCAAATAATTTCTGGAAGGGCATTCTGCACATATAAATAATTTGAGACACTTAAAATTAGCATATGAGCAACATTATAGTGGCTAGTGTCATGGGACTCCATAAAATGAAATGCCA